TCACATGGAGGGTTATCAGCAGAGGGTTAATGAGAGGAAAAGGGAGGGAATGGGGGAAACAGTACAGGGAATAAGAAAAATAAATAATAGAGAGGGGAAGGTTAAGAATAAAATAAGAAATGTATGAGCCAAAGAACTTATATGTACAACCAATGGACATAAACTAAGGGGGGGCAGGAGGGTGAAATGCTGGCTAGACAGGGGTGCAGGGAAGAGAGGAATAAAGGGGAGAAAAAATGGAAAAACTTTAATAGCATTATCAAAAAAATACTTTTTAAAAATGACATAAACATTATAAACATATATGCACACAACACAGGAGCACTCAAATATGTAAGAAAATTTTTGGAGTACTTAAAAGAAAAATATAGACAGCAATGCACTTATACTAGGAGATTTGTAACTGTCAAAAATGGAGAGATCTTACAAACAAAACATCAACAAGGATATTACAGCACTGAACAATGCTGTAGATCAAATAAACTTAACTGATTACACATATATATGTGTATATATATAACCTTTCATTACAAAGAAACAAAATGCACATGGAACATTTTCGAGGAAAGACCACATGACAGGACACAAAACAAACCTCAACAGATTCTAGAAAACTGAAATCATATCAAGCATTTCTTCAGACCATAAGGGCCTAAAACTAAAAACCAACCTCAAGAGAAAAGTTCAAAAACACTAAAATTTGTGGAAACTGAATACCATGCTATTAAACAATGATCTCAAGGTTAATAATGAGATCAAGGAAGAGATAAAAGTGTTCCTGGAAACAAATGAAAAGAACTCATAGCAGTCCAAAACTTATGGGGCAAAGCAAACATAGTCCTGAGATAGAAGTTCACTGTGATAGAAGCCTACCTAAAAAAAGATAGAAACATTTCAAATAAGCAACCTAACCCTACATCTATAAGAACTGCAGGAACAACAACAAACAAAGTCCAGAGAGAGTAGAAGGAAGGAAATAATCAAGATCACAGCAGCATTAAACATAGAGACTAAAAGAAAAATTCAAAGGATCAATAAATCCAGCAGTTGGCTCTTTGAAAAGATAAACAAAATTGACAAGCCTTTAAACAGACTCATCAAGAAAAAACAAGAAGTAAAATCAGAAATGTAACAGGAGAAATTACAACTGATATAACAGAAATACAAAATATTGTAAGAAATTGCTAACAAAATTATGTTCTCAGAAAGTTTAAAACCGGGGTGAAATGGACACATTTCAGGAAACATATGATCTTCCAAAACTGAATCAAGAAGCAGAAAGCCTGAACAGACCAATAACAGCTGCTGAAATTGAAGCAATAATCAAAAAAGTCCTGGCACACAAAAGCCCTAGAACACACTGTTTCAGAGGAGAATTTTACAGAACATTTAAGGAAGATGTAACCCATATCCTTCTCAGACTATTCCAAAAAATCCAACAAGAGGGAAGACTCCCAAACTCCTTTTATGAAGCCACATAATCCTAATCCCAAAACCAGACAAAGACACAACAAAGAGAGAAAACTACAGGCCAACATGGCTGATGAACACAGATGTTAAAATCCTCAACAAAATATAGGCAAACTACACCCAGCAATACATTAAAAAGATCATATATCATCATCAAGTAGGATTCACCCTAGAGACACAAAGATGGTACAATATTCTCAAATCAATAAACAGAAAACATCACAAAACAAAGGAAAGACAAAAATCACATGATTATATCAATAGATGCAGAGAAAGCATTTGATAAGGTACAGCACCTGTTTATGGTAAAAACATTCTACCAAGTAGGAGTAAAAGGAGTATACCTCAACATAATAAAGGCCATATATGAGAAACCTACAACTAACATAATATACAATGGGCAAAAACTAAAAGCTTTCCCACCAAGCTCATGAATAAAACAAGGGTGCCTGCTTTCACCACTTCTATTCAGTGTAGCTTTGGATATCCTAGCTACAGCAATCAGACAGGAAAAAGAAATAAAAGGCTTCCAAATTGGAAGGGAGGAAACAAAACTGCCACTGTTTGCAGATGACATGATTGTGTACATAGAAAATCCTACAGGCACCACCAAAAAACTACTCAACCTAATAAGTAGACTTGGCAAAGTATCAGGATACAAAGTTAATATTCACAAATTGAAGACATTTTTGTACACCAAAAATTAAATATCAGAAACAGGAATTAGGAAAAAACCCATTTGCTATAGCAAAAAAAAAATTAAGTACCTAAGGATAAATCTTACCAAGGAGGTAATAGAGCTATACTCAGAAAACTACACAACACTGAAGACAGAAATGAAGAAGACAAGAATAAATGGAAACATATACCATGTTCATGAACAGGAAGAAGTAACATCATCAAAATGTCCACACTACCCAAAGAAATTTTCAGATTGAAAGCAATATTTATTAAAATGCCAATAACACCCTGGTTGGTGTAGCTCAGTGGATTGAGTGCGGGCCTGGGAATCAAACAACCACGGTTCGATTCCCAGTCAGGGCACATGCCTAGGTTGCAGGCCAGTTCCCAGCAGGGGACACACAAGAGGCAACCACACATTGATATTTCTCTCCCTCTCTCCTTCCCTTCCCCTCTAAAGATAAATAAATAAATAAATCTTTTTTTAAAAATGCCAATAACATATTTCACAGATACAGAACAAGCATTTCAAAAATTTACATGGAACTATCAATGACCCAGAACAGCTGCAGCAATTATGAGAAAGAAAAACATAGCGGGAAGTATCACAATACCTGACATCAAATTATATTACAAGGCTACTGTAATCAAAACAGTCTGGTACTGGCATAAGAACAGACACATAGACCAATGGAACATAATAGAGAGCCCAGAAATAAACCCAAGTCTCTATGTCAATTAATATTCAACAAAGGGGAAAGAAGCATAAAATGAAGTAAAAATAGCCTCTCAACAAATGGTATTGGGAGATCTGGACAGCTACATGCAAAAAAATGCACCTTTATCACCATCTTACACCTTACACAAAAATAAACTCAAGATGTATAAAAGACTTAAACATTAAGTCACAATACCTTAAAAGTCCTAGAGGAGAATATAGGCAGGGAAATCTCAGACATTCCATGCAGCAATATTTTCACCCATATGTCCCCAAGAGCAAGGGATATAAAGGAAAGAATAAACAAATGGGACTATATCAAAATAAAAAGTTTCTGCATGGCTAAAGAATACATCAGGAAAATGAAAAGGGAATTAACCATATGGGAGAACATATTTGCCAATGATATATCAGACGAGGATTTGATTTCCAAAATATATAAAGAACTCACACAACTCCACTCCAGGAAGACAAACAACCCAATCAATAAATAGGCAAAGGACCTGAACAGATACTTCTCCAAGGACATACAGAAGGCCAAGAAATATATGAAAGGAGGCTCAGCATCACTAGACATCAGAGAGATGCAAATTAAAACCACAATGAGATACCACTTCACACCAGTCAGAATGGCTATCATAAACAACTCAACAAACAAGTGCTTGGTTAGGTTGTGGATAAAGGGGAACCTGATGCAGACACCAGCCCGCAGTGTCCATGTCATTATGGATGAAATGAGACATTCACATGGAGTACTGAGTCCTGTAGAGGAAAGGGGACAGCATAGTTTTTTCTCTCAAGGAAGCAAAAGCCATGGCCCTTCCTGTGACTGGCCTTTATTGGGTTTCTCAGCACATTACATGATGGTCCTCATTTACTATGAACAGGTTACTTTAGGTGGTTACCTTTTAAAGAAAACAAAGGAGAGGATGCCAGTAATCACATCACAGAAGAGGGATATTTGCAAATGAAAAGGCAAAAGTCGTTGAACCAGTTACACTGGTCATAGGAAGGTTTAGCATGTATTTTAGAAAGTCATTTTGCAGTAAATGTTTGCCAAGGGGGACTGGGCCCACACCACACAGAATGGTCTCCTACAGGAACCCTATTAACATTGTTGGTGGGAATGCAGACTGGTACAATCACTGTGGAAAGCTATGAGATTTCTTCAGTAAACTAAAAATAAAACTGCCTTTTGACCCATGAATTCCACTCTTGGGTTTATATCCTAAGAATCCTGAAACACCAATTCTAAAGAACCTATGCCCCCCAATGTTTACAGCAGCACAATTTACAGTAGCCAAGTGCTGGAAGCAACCTAAGTACCCATCAGTAAACAAGTAGATAAAAAAACTATGGTACATTCACACAGTGGAATGCTACACAGCAGAAAGAAAGAAAGAAGAAGCTCCTACCCTTCACGTCTGCATGGATGGAACTGGAGAGTATTATGCTAAGTGAAATAAGCCAGGCAGTGAAAGACAAATACTATATGATCACACCTATAAGTGGAATCTAATTAACAAAACAAACAAGCAAGCAAAATATAACCAGAGACAATGAAATAAAAAACAAACAGAATAATCAGAGGGGTGGGAGGAGGGAATAATGGGGGAAAAAAAGGACCGTCAAAGAACATGTATGAAGGACCCATGGTCTAAGCCAAAGGGAGTTAGGATCAAGGGTGGTGGGAAGTGGGGATGGGTGGAGCAGGGGAGAGTGGTGGAGGGAAAATGGAGACAACTAACTGTACCTGAACAACAATAAAGGAAGGAAGGAAGGAAGGAAGGAAGGAAGGAAGGAAGGAAGGAAGGAAGGAAGGAGGGGGGGGGAGGGGAGGGAGGGGAGGGGGGGGAGGGAGGAGGGAGGGGAGGGGGAGGGGAGGGAGGGGAGGGAGGAAGGAAGGAAGGAAGGAAGGAAGGAAGGAAGGAAGGAAGGAAGGAAGGAAGGAGAGTAAATGGTGCCTGGGTCATTGAGAGGACGTATACAGCAACAAGCAGTGACAACAGCCATTATGTTGTTTTAAGTAAGTAATAAGCATAAATAATGGACTTCTTGAAAAGGAGAGTTTGCAGTTGTAGAATCTCCTCTTTTCCCTGCCCAGTAATGTCCCGGAGACTCTCCCGCCTACCTTTGATGAGCTCTGGCCTGTACGTCTTGCGCAGCTGCTCCAGGAAGCTGTTGTACAAATTCTCTGCCTGCTCCGTGGGCATTGCCAGGTGGAAGTCGGGCTTGTTGCCCTTGAGGACACACTGGAGGGTGAACTGGCTGACACATAACACCTCGTATTGTTTGTCCATCACACTCTTCGACCAGTGCTTCCCACTTTCATCGTCAAACACACGTAAGTTTAAAATCTTGCGGACCCTAAGGAGGAAAATAGCAATGAAAACTACCCAAGGAATCACAAGCCCCCAAACATTCCAGCACCCTTCAAATGTTACCATTATCCTGCCAAACAAAAACATAATGCTGACAGCATTGCTTACAGAAAGTATTACCTTGGGCAAGTTACTTTCCATTCTGTGTTTCTGTTTTCTCATCCATAATAGGGGGCAATAATGATCCTACCTCATGGGTTGTTTAGAAATTTCCTTTATTTTTTCTTTTTTTTGGTCAACCCTCCAATTCACAGAAACTGCCAGTGGGAACTGGAGCCCAGATGACAACCACCCACCATCTTCTCCTTCAGACTGGGGTTACATCAAAACATGGATCCAATTCTAATTGTCTGTAGAATTCAATCTTTATGTTGGAATAAATGGCACACCATTTTTACACCCCTTGTTGGAGCTACTCAAAATGAACAATTCAGTACCCACCCTAGAGAAAACTTAGGGTTGCTGCCAATATGCAAAAGTTATGGAGAAAGACAGCTTAACAACCATTTCACATGTAAGGACAGCCACCTTGGCTAGGAAGAAGGCTAGGTAACATTTATAAGATAAAGAATGACCTGCATGAAAGTTGCAATTCCACCTGTGGAGAGTCATCTTTTTGTTGATGACACATTCAAGGGCTATAGAAATAGTAATTCACTGACTCTTTGTATGGGTGCTCACTGGTGGGCACTTCTCTTCAACCCCCCTCCACAGCCAAGGATTGTCTTCTGTTAAGTCAAATCTCTAAACCACCAAGATAAGTATTAGCTCTCTGGAATATCAAAGCCATAAAGAGATTCAGACCCAGAGCCCAAATTTTTAACCACTACACCACCCTACTATCTTGAGTATTCAGGGGACAGTTATTAAAATGCCAACATCCCTAAAGTGGTAGTGAACTATCCTTATCAGTCATTAGCACCTTAGCAGGAATTAGGTTCTAAACCTGATTTTCAACCTAATACCAAAGGGACAATTGGGTGGGATTATACTCTGACTCTGGATACCAAAGAGCAGAATAAACAGATCTGAGTATCTGAAGTAAACGTGTCAAGTGGTGCTAGAGTAGGGGAAAACACAAGTGGGAGTAAAACCTGGGGAGGAGGAAGCTGCCCATAGGAGACAGCCGGTGAAGCCACAATGATGACAAACCCCACTAACCTTAGTAAAAGGAGCACTGGCCCAGGTCAGATAGCCTAGATTCTAATTTGAATTTGGGCTTTTTGATAAGTATGTACATGTAACTTTGAGAAAGTAATTAACCTCTCTGAGATATACATCCTTATATGTACAATGAAGAACTGGGCATTTTAAAAATGTATGAAGAGCACCAGACAATATTTTTTAATATGTTTTATTGATTATGCCATTACAGATGTCCCGTTTCCCCCCTTTATTCCCCTCTACCCTGCACACCCCCTCTCCCACCATTCCCCCCCCTTTAGTTTATGTTCATGTGTCAAGGGTTCCTTAGATTCTGTATTTCCCATACTATTCTTGCCTTCCCCATTGCCTATTTGCTACCTACTGTCTATGCTACTTATTCTCTGTACCTTCTCCCCCTTTTCCTCCTACAACTCCACTGTTGTTAACCCTTCATGTGATCGCCATTTCTATGGTTCTGCTCCTGATCTAGCTGTCCTCTTAGTTTGCTTTTGTTTTAGTTGTGGTTGTTAATAATTGAGTTTGCTATCCTTTCACTGTTCATATTTTTATCTTCTTTTTCTTAGATAAGTCCCTTTAACATTTCATATAATAAGGGCTTGGTGATGATGAACTCCTTCAACTTGACCTTATCTGACAAGCACTTGATCTGCCCTTCCATTCTAAATGAAAGCTTTGCTGGATAGAGCAATCTTGGGTGTAGGTCTTTGCCTTTCATGACTTGGAATACTTCTGTCCAGCCCCTTCTTGCCTGTAAGGTGTCTTTTGAGAAATCAGCTGACAGCCTGATGGGAACTCCTTTATAGGTGACTGTCCCCTTATCTCTTACTGCTTCTAGGATTCTCTCCTTCCTTGTTATCTTGGCTAATATAATTATGTTGTACCTTGGTGTGTTCCTTCTTGGGTCCAACTTCTTTGAGACTCTCTGAGCTTCCTGGATTTCTTGGCAGTCTATGTCCTTTGCCATATTGGGGAAGTTCTCCTTTATTATTTGTTCAAATAAGTTTTCCACTTGTTGCTCTTCCTCTTCCACTTCTGGTACCCTCATCATTCAGATGTTGGAATGTTTAAAGATGTCCTGGAGGTTCCTAAGCCTCTCCTCATATTTTTGAATTATTGTTTCTTTATTCTGTTCTGGTTGAATGTTTCTTCCTTCTGGTCCACTCCCTTGATGTGAGTCTCAGTTTCCTTTCCATCACTATTGGTTTCCTGTGCATTTCCCCTCATTTCACTTTGTGTAGCCTTCATTTGTTCCTCTAATTTGTGAGTAAAATCAACCAGTTCTGTGAGCATCCTTATCACCAGTGTTTTGAACTATGCATCTGATAGGTTGGCTATCTGTTGGTCACTTAGAAGTATTGGCTCTGGGGCTTTGAGCTGTTCTTCTTGAGCTATAATGTTTTTGTCTGTTCATGCCTGTTACATATAAGGGGCAGAGCCTTAGGTGTTCACCAGGACGGGGCAACCCAAGTTGCTGGGTTGTAATGCTTTATGTCAGGGCGGGGTCAGAGAGGGGCAATGGCGTCTGTTCTGCTCTCTCTCAGATTTCGGTCCCCTCTGCTGCTTCCTGCAAGCAAATTGGGCCCCTCTGGTGCCGGTTCCTGGGTATGTGGGCCTGTGTACCTTCCAGGACCCTGTGGGTCTCTCCAACAAACTCTCGGTGAGCCTGGGAGTTTCGCCCAGCACCTTGACCCCAAAAGTTTTTCCAATTGGCACTTTTAGGGTTTAACTCCTGTCGCTGGGGCCCTAGCCTGTGCAGTCTGTTTCACTGCTCGCTCCTTTGCCTAGTTTATCTGCATGTGGATGTGTAACTGCGGTCAGCCAGCCACCTTGCACCCCCGCTGGGTCTGCCCGTTGCCACTCCACACCTGGGATCTGCCCACCGCTGCCTGCGCTCCTGGGTGTGTCCGGCCGCATTGTCCCATGCAACCCTGCTCCCCCAGCTGCTGACTCCACCCCTCTCACCAGTCTGGATGAATGGTTCGTTGTTGTCAGACTTCTGTATAGTTCAATTTTCTGTGTTTTGGTTGGGTTTTTCTTACTAAAACTTTGTTGTCTTTAAACTTGGTGGTGCAAGGAGGCATAGTGTTTCCACCTATGCCTCCATCTTGGCCAGAAGTCTCCCCAGATAATATTTTTAATTAAAAAGCAGGCTTTGGGGACCTTTTTGGAAGAATGGTGCTGCCGGATGACGATTAGACTTCTGGTCAAGATGGAAGTGTAAGTAAACACAACTCTCCTCCTTGCACAACTATGGCAAAAATTACAACTAGGCCACAAAACAATATCACCCAGAAACACCAGATAATCAGGCTGTGTGGCATTCTGACAACCAAGGATTTAAAGAAGCCACATTCATCCAGACAGGTGTGCTTTTCTACAATAGGCCACACTAAAAAGAGTCAAAGCAGTTCTACCTAATACACCAAAATAAACATAGGGAAGCTGTCAAAAGGAGGAGACAAAGAAACATAGACAGAATGAAAGAACAGAACAAAATTCCAGAAAAAAGAACTAAATGAAATAGATATAAACAATCTATCAGATGTACAGTTCGAAACAATGGTTATCAGGATGTTCAAGGAACTCATTGGATACCTCAATAACATAAAAAAGATGCAGGTAGAAATGAAGGTTACATTAAGTGAAATAAAGAAAATGTATAGGGAACCAACAGTGGAGGAGATGAAGCCCAGAATCAAATCAACAATTCAAAAAACAAGGAAGTAAAAAACATTCCATCAAATAGTAAGAACACAAAAGTATTTTTAAAAGGATATGCTAAGGAGTCTCTGGACACCTTCAAATGTACCAACATCCAAATCATAGGGGAGCTAGAAGGAGAAGAGGAAGAGCAATAAATTGAAATTTTATTTCAAAAAATAGTGAAAGAAAATTTCCCCAATTTGGTGAAGGAAATAAACATACAAGTCCAGGAAGCACAGAGAGTACCAAAGAAGATGGACCAAAAGAGGACCACACCAAGACACATCATAATGAAAATGCCCCAAAACAAAAGCTAAGGCCACTAGTGGGATGTTTGCTCAAAAGTAATTTCAGGAAGAGGGTTAAGATTCAAGGGAAAAGCAAGGATCTTCAACCTAGATTATTCTATCCAGCAAAACTATCATTTAGAATTGAAGGGCAGATAAAGTGCTTCCCCGACAAGATAAAAATAAAGGAGTTCATCATCACCAAGTCCTTATTATATGAAATGTTAAAGGGACTTATTTAAGAAAAAGAAGATCAAAAGTATGAACATTAAAATAGCAATAAATTCACAACTATCAACAACTGAATCTTAAAAACAAACTAAGCCAACAAGCAGAACAGAAACAGAATCATAAGTATGGAGATCATTTGGAGGATTATCAGATGGGAAGGGGAAGGGGGAGAATAGGGGAAATGGTGCAGAGATTAAGAAGTAAGAAATGGTAGGTATAAAATAGGGGGAAGTTAAGAACAGTATGGGAAAAGGAGTAGCCAAAGAACTCATATGCATGAACCATGGACATGAGTAAGGCAGGAATCACCAGAGGGAATAGGGGTACTGGGTGAAGGGGGCAAAGGGGGAAAAATCGAAACAATTATAATAGCATAATCAATAAAAAAAATTTAATTAAAAAACTAATTATTCATAAGAAAAGAGGCTTGCTTTTTGCATTAAGAGAATGATTCATAGATGCAGCAACAAATAGGGACAGAGACTAAGTTGTACTCTAGCTCTGCTGCTCACTTAGTGGGTGACATTTAACAGATTCTTTCTCAGTCTCCTCATCTGGAACACAGAGATAAACATACATCAAATGTCACAATGATAAAAGTTACATGGGCTTACTTTATAGGAACAAAATCCTATAGAAGTTCCTAGTACATGTGTGTATATGTATATATTATATATAACCATCACATATCCCATTCAAAGAGCAATGACTTAGAAATCCGCATCTTACATGTGCTCCAGTTCCTTATGTGTATCTTCCAGAGAAATGCCCAGCAAAACACAGATGCCGTGTCCAATGGCGCTTATCTGCTCTCCTCCAACTAGAAAGGAAACAAAAGGAAAAAGGATTCAGAGCCAAATAGGTACCATGAACCATAAAGCACTTTGAAATAACCAACAAGAATATTTAAAAATCATGCATACTTCTTATAACTACTTTGCAAAGTCAGTAGATACTCAAAAATGAAAGGAGTTATGTTAAAGCAGTAAGATGATCATCGTTTATGTCCATTATTTTTAACATCTGAAATAAATGACTTCTGAAGTGAACAATCAGTAAGCAGAATTTCAGGACCACATTTAAATCTGTGTGATTTTAGGTAAGATACCAAAAACTTTCTATGATGAAGTTTGCAATCTGCAAAAACAGAAAAGTTTTCCTGCCCAGAGAATCCAGCTTTGCTATATTAATTCTCAGGAGATGCCCATTTGTCTTTGAATCAGCAAATCTGGTAACATAATACCCATCACAAAATGGAAAACACTTATGTCATAAAAATAAAGAAACAATTTTTCTACTTACTGCAGAAATGAAAAATATACACAAAAACCATGATTTAAAAGTTAAACTTCAAACTTCCAGCCAAGATGGAGGCGTAGATAGATACACTTTGCCTCCTCGTGCAACCCAAAGAAGGACAACAAATTAAAAAATAAAAAAAATAACCAAAACTGCCAGGAAATTGTACTGTATGAAAGTCCTACAACCAAGGAGTTAAAGAAGACATTCACGAGCCCAGTAGCAGGGGTGGAGATAGGCAGCTGGGGTGGAGAGGACTCAGCAAGATAGTGGCTAGAGGACCAGGACAGGCGAGGCAGTAGCTGGTGGACTGGACATGGTGGCAGGTGGCAGAGCCCAGTCCCACATTTGCATGTGAATAAATTCAGAGGAACAACTGGGGAACAAGACAGACCACACAACTAAGGGTTCCAGCATGGGGAAATAAAGCCTCAAAACCTCTGGCTACAGCCCTGGCTGGTGTAGCTCAGTGGATTGACCACGGGCCTGGAAATCAAGCAACCACGGTTCGATTCCCAGTAAGGGCACATGCCTAGGTTGTAGGCCAGTTCCCAGCAGGGGACACACAAGAGGCAACCATACATTGATATTCTCTCCCTCTCTCCTTCCCTTCCCCTCTAAAGATAAATAAATAAAATCTTAAAAGATATTAAAAAGATATTAAAAATATTTAAAAAAAACCTCTGGCTACAAAAACCTGTGGGGATTGAGGCAGCAGGAGAAACTCCCAGTTTCACAGGAGAGTTCATTGGAGAGAGCCACAGGCTCCTAGAATGTACACAAAACCACCCACCTGGGAATCAGCACCAAAAGGGCCCAATTTGCTTGTGGGTAGCAGAGGAAGTGACGAAAATCCTGCTGACAGCCTAGCAAGTGGCATTGTACCCACTCAGACCCGTCCCTCAAAACACAGCCAAGTAGGTTGTCTTGCCCTGGCAAATACCTATGTCTCTACCCCTTACTATGTAACAGACACATTGAGACAAAAAATATATATATGGCCCAAATGAGAGAAGAAATCAAAGCTTCAGAAAAAAAAAAACCTAAGCACTGAAGAGATAGCCAAACTATCAGATGCACAGTTCAAAACACTGGTAATCAGGATGCTCACAAAAATGGTTGAGTAAGGTCACTAAATAGAGGAAAGAGAAAAGGCTATGAAAAGTAAAATAAAGTAATATGTACAGAGAACCAAGAGTGATGGATAGGAAACTGGGACTCAAATTGATGATTTGGATGAGGAGGAAGAAAGAAACATTCAACCAGAAAAGAATGAAGAGATAAGAATTCAAAAAAATGAATAGAGGCTTAAGAACCTCCGGGACAGCTTTAAACATTCAAACATCTGAATCATATGGGTGCCAGTAGGAGAAGAGGAAAAGCAACAAGTGGAAAAGTTATTTGAACAAATAATAAAGGAGAACTTCTCCAATTTGGTAAAGAAAATAGACTTCCTGGAAGTCCAGAGAGCTCAGAGAGTCCCAAAGAAGTTGGACCCAAGGAAGGCACACATTAAGACAGATCATCACTACACTACCCAAGATTAAAGATAAAAACAGAATATTAAAAGCAGCGAGAGAAAAGGAGGCAGTTACCTACAAAGGAGTTCCCATCAGACTGTCAGCTGATTTCTCAAAAGAAACCTTGCAGGCAAGAAGGGGCTGGAAAGAAGTACTCAAAGTTACAAAAGCCAAGAATTACTATATCCAGCAAAGCTATCATTTAGAATGGAAGGGCAGATAAAGTGCTTCCCAGATAAGGTCAAGTTAAAGGTGTTTATCATCACCAAGCCCTTATTATATGAAATGTTATAGGGACTTATCTAAGAAAAAGAAGAATAAAAATAGGAACAGTAAGGACTTTCAGCCAAGAAAGAGGCATAGGTAGACACACTGTGCCTCCTCGCAAAACCAAAATAAGGGCAACAATTTGAAAACAAAACACAACCAGAACTCACAGAAAATTGAGCTGTATGGAAGTCCAACAACCAAGAAGTTAAAGAAGACACATTCATCCAGCCAGTAGGAGGGGTAGAGAGAGGCACACAAAGGCAGCAGCGGACGGACCCAGCCAGGCAGCAGATTGTGAAGGGGCTTGGCATGCAAGGTGGCTTGCTCAACTGGGTAGTCCTGCATTTGACTGCAGATAAACCAGGCAAAACTGGGGAATAAGACAGACTGTGCAACTCAGGGTCCCAGCTTGGGGAAATAAAGCCTCAAATCAAGGATTGAAAACACCTGTGAAGGTTGAGGTGCCAGGAGAAACTTCCAAACTCACAGGAGAGTTCATTGGAGAGACCCACAGGGTCCTAGAACACACACAAACCCCCCCACATGGGAAGCAGCACCAGAATGGCCCAGTTTGCTTGTGGGAAACAGGGAAGTGACTGAAATCTGGCAGAGAGCAGAGTGAGCGCCATTGTTCCCTCTCGCACCCCTGCCCCACATACAGTGTCACAACCCAGCTACAAGGGTTACCCCTCCCAGGTGAACACCTAAGGCTCTGTCCCTCACTACAAAACAGGAGCATCAAGACCCAAAAACAAAAAGGCCCAAACGAAAGAACAGATCAAAGCTCCAGAAAAAATACAACTAAGCAGTAAAGAGGTAGCCAACGTATCAGATGTACAGTACAAAGTACTGGTAATCAGGATACTCACAGAATTGGTTGAATTTGGTTGCAAATTAGATAAAAAAAATAAAGGCTATGATAAGTGAAATAAAGGGAAATGTACAAGGAACCAATAGTGCTGGGAAGGAAATTGGGACTCAAATCAATAGTGTGGAGGAGAAAGAAGAAAGAAACACCCAATCAGAAAAGGATGAAGAAACAAGAATTCAAAAAAATGAGGAGAGGCTTAGGAACTTCCAGGACATCTTTAAATGTTCCAACATACAAATTATAGGGGTACCAGAAGGGGAAAAGGAAGAGCAACAGGTGGAAAAGTTTTTCAAACCAATAGTGAAGGAGGACTTCCCCAATCTGGCAAAGGAAATAGTCTTCCAGGAAGTCCAGGAAGCTCAGAGAGTCGCAAAGAAGTTGGACCCAAGGAGGAACACACCAAGCCACATCATAATTACATTAGCCAAGATTAAAATGAAGGAGAATTAAGATGATGCTGGCTTCATAAAAAGAATTTGGGAGTTTTCCATCCTTCTGGACTTTTTGGAATAGTCTGTGCAGAATAGGGGTTAGCTCTTCCTTAAATGCTTTGTAGAATTCTCCTGTGAAACCATCTGGTCCAGGGCTTTTGTGTGATGGGAGTTTTTTGATTACTGCTTCAATTTCTTTTGCTGTTATTGGTGTATTTAGATTTTCTGCTTCTTTTTCATTGAGTTTTGGATGATTGTATTTTTCTAGAAATGTGTCCATTTCCCCTAGGTTTTCAAATTTCTTGGCATACAGTTCTTCATAGTAATTTCTTACAATCCCTTCTATTTCTGTGGTATCAGCTGTAATCTCTCCTGTTTCATTTCTGATTGTGTTTATTTGTGTCCTCTCTCTTCTTTTCTTGATGAGCTTACTTAAAGGCTTGTCTATGTTGTTTATCTTCTCAATCCAGCTCCTGGATTCATTGATCCTTAAAATTGTGCTTTTAGTTTCTATGTCATTTAATTCTGCTCTAATCTTGGTTATGTCCTTCCTTCTGCTTGCTCTGGGCTGTCTTTGTTGTTGTTCCTGGAGTTTTTGCAGGCGTAGGGTTAGCTTGTTTGTTTGAAATGTTTCTATCTTCTTTAGGTAGGCCTCTATTGCTATAAACTTCCCTCTCAGGACTGCCTTCGCTGTGTCCCATAAGTTATGCGTTGTTGTGAGATCATTTTCATTTGTTTCCAGAAACGTTTTGATTTCTTCCCTAATTTCATTCTTGACCGATTCATTGTTTAATAGCATACCATTCAGTCTCCATGATTTTGGGTGCTTTGGCATAAAAACAGGCACATAGACCAATGGAACAGAACAGAGAGCCCAGAAATCAACCCAACTCTCTACAGTCAATTAATATTCGACAAAGGGAACAGTAACATAAAATGGAGTAAAGATAGCCTCTTCAACAAATGGTGTTGGGAGAACTGGACAGCTACGTGCAAAAAAAATGAAACTTGAGCACAGACTTACACCATACACCAAAATAAATTCAAGGTGGATAAAAGACTTAAATATAAGCCATGACACCATTAAAGTCCTAGAGGAGAACATTGGCAAGAAAATCTCAGATATTCCATACAGCAACATTCTTTACTGATATGTCCCCTAGAGCAAGGAATGTAAAGGAAAGAATAAACAAATGGGATCTCATCAAAATAAAAAGCTTCTGCGTGGCTAAAGAAAACAGTATTAAATTAGCAAGACAACCAACTGTATGGGAAAACATATTTGCCAATGATACCTCAGACAAAGGTTTAATCTCCAAAATATATAAAGAACTTACACGACTGCACTCTGAGAAGACACCCAGCCCAATTAAAAAATGGGAAAAGGACTTGAACAGACACTTCTCCAAGGAGGACATACAGAACATCC